CAATGCATAATTACTGCCATATTTTGCAGGAAAGATTTCATTTCTATTTGCTATCTCACTTAAGACTTTTCTGGAGATAGAAAGAAGAGGGGTGAGAAAAACTCCAGTTTTCCACATGTATCAAAAAATGAATTTATTGGGCATATTCTGGAGTATTCTCTAGAACCTAAAATTATTAAACAATCAGCTCTGTTGCAGTCTTTCACCTTGTGGGTGTGGGTGTGTCCCTGTTTCCATGTAGCTCTATATTCTAAATATAGCTTTAATCTGACCTCCTTTCACCTTCTCCATAATTACCCTTATGGCTTCTTCTCTAAGCCAAAAGCATGTGATGGTCCTCTTCCTAGACTCCCTATTTCCACAGTTCCATTATACCTTCACCCACCCCATTGTGAGTTATCCATAATAAAAATTAGAAGGGTCCTCTGAACATAGATTTGATCATGTCAAAACTGTGCAAGAAGCTTAGATTTCCTATCTTAATGGATAGAGTGGAGAAAGAGTTTGCTATTTCCCCAGGATAGAGAGCCCTTCCTGGTCCTCATCTCAGTCCAGTAAGTTTATATCTGTAATCCTATGGATAAATTATTGGAATCCTGTTAATTACAATCTGCCACATCCAGCACAATCCATGGTGAGAATGAAGATGCTAATGCATGTTTATAGTTGTGGGGAGTCAAATGACCCTAGATCCAGCTGTGATGCTGGCTATCCAGAACAAACACCTCCACCCTGGGCCAAACCTGGGTTTTACTCATTTATAAAGAAAGGAGCGGCTTGAGAAGGAGTGACTGTGAGAGTGGCAGGAAGTAGGTGAATTCTGGGAGCTGGACTAGGGAGGAGGCCTGCATTTATCTCTGCCATATGCAAAGAGAAGGATGTGCAGACAGTAATCGGCATTACACAATGGAGATAGTATCTAATGCTCTGGGGTCAGTGCTTCAGCTCTGATGTGTAATCTTTCAAACCCCAGGAAGTGATAGCCTCTATCTGAAGGCTTAACAAGGAACAGTGGCTCTTCATCCTGCCTCCTCTCAGCTCACACAAGGTAACAAGGAGGTCGAGGGTGTCGGAAACACATCTGCTGTCTTCAAAGACCACCATCAGCACCTAAGCTGGACTGATACGCATTGCTTAAGGCCAACTGAGGGGACAAAGAAAAGTCCTAGCCAGCTCTGTACATATCAATACATGGAAATAGCATCAGGCTCAGCTAAAATAGAGACAACTGCTCCTCTTTCCAGGAGAGTCACCCAGGTGGTCCTCCACACCCTATTAGGTATAGACAAAATAAAATTCCTGTACACTACATATTCAAGAATTTAAGAGGACTGTTGAAAGTAGAGAAAAGAAGGTAGACTGGCTAAGTGTTTGAGAAATAATGTAGTAGTAAGCTCCTTGCATTTTCTTTCTGCCTTTCCATCCCACACTCAGTGCTGAAGAAGGTGGTGACTCAAAACTATCAAAAGGCACAGAAAAAAATTCTGCCACCAATGCCTGCTTTCTGTAGTCAAAGAGTCAGGAAAAGAAAGCCTTGGAAGAGAGAGAGAGTTTCAAATAGTAATTATCCTCTACCAGAGACATACTGCAGAAATATAGATGGCACTGTTTCTACAACTAGCAGAAACTATAAAAGACCCTGGCCTCCCATTCTCACAAGACTTTAACCATGAGTCTCAACACACTCACTAAGGTTTTGTCAGAAAAGGACAAGTGGGGAGCCAGGGTCATTATCCCCACCATCTGATTCTACGCATCCTGTGATAGAGGGGAGAATTCCCTGGCAGCCTGGACTTCTACCCCTCCCCAACAGCAGTGAGGTAACTTTTCCCCTATTGGAGAGTCAGAACTTTCAACTTTGCTCAAGTATGCATAGTCCGCCCAAAATGATGTCAGCAGGAACATCAGGGGAACTGAAATGTTCATCCTTATACAACAGCAGAGCCTCCACTTCAGGTAGCACCTGAGACTGACCGAAATGCTTGGATTTGAATTCCATTTGGTGGTACATTCCCAAGTACACTTACACCTTCATATGGAGATGCCCAGAGTCCAATTAAAAATACCCAAACAACATCCAAGAAGATAGATGTCAAACTGAATTTTTAAAAATGACAACCAATAGAGGCAAACACTAAGATGACCAAGATGTTAGAAATATGTCATAAAGATTTGAAATAATCATAATAAAAAAGTGTGAATGAGCAGTTATGAACACAGTGAAACAAACAAAAAGCATTAGCAGAGAAAGTACAAAATACAAGAATAATCAAATGGACTTTTATAGGAGTAAAAAGTGTAATAGCTGGGCTAGAGATATAGCTTAGCAGCCTGGCAAGCATGATGCCATGCATTTGATTCTCTGTATCAAAAAAAGAAAAAACAATAACCAAGACAAAAAGCTCAGAGGATGGGCTCAGTAGCAGAATGGGGGTACTGGTCACCTTTCTCATTGGTGGGGTCAATTTCTTGACACTCATATTTTAGTTCCTGGTTTCACAGATTCCTGTCCATAGTGAGCTGACGCCAAGGAGAAGACATCATGGCAAAAGGCTATGGTGGAGCAACATGCTCAAGTCATGAAGGCCAGCAATCAGATTGGGCTGGAAAGAAGGGAATGCATGAGTCAGGCAGAGTCCACAAGGTTATGCCCCGTGACTCTCTTCCTCCACCTCCACCTCCACCTCCACCCCAACTCCTGGCAGCCCTTTGGCTGTGAACTCATCCATGGCTTCATGCCCTGAGGAGGTCACTGTCCTTACTATATAATCATTTCTCCAGAGGCCTCTGAGTCTAGTCAAGTCAATAAACAATCTTAATTGACACGGGAGGGGACATAGAAAAGAGTCTGTGAACCAGAAGAGAGAGGAATAGAAATTAGCCAATCACAACAGAAGAGAGGTGATGTGAAGTAGAAGCAGTCATAGCAACAACAGAGAAGACATAAGCTTAATTAATTAATATCATCCCATACCACTGGAACTATAACAAAAGATCTGACTTCTGGGTCATTGAATCATAGGAGGATTAGGAAAAGACTGAGGAGGATGGAAAGATAGCTCAGAGGCTTAAGCGTCTGCCTGGCAAGCACAGGGTCCTGAGTTCAACCCCTGGTACCAAAAATAAAAAGGAGAGAGAGAGACAGAGACAGAGACAGAGACAGAGACAGAGAGACAGAGAAAGAGACAGAGAGACAGAGAGAAAGAGACAGAGAGGAAGAGAGAGAGACAGAGACAGAGAAGAAAGAAAGAAAGAAAGAAAGAAAGAAAGAAAGAAAGAAAGAAAGAAAGAAAGAAAGAAAGAGGCTGAGGCTAAAATACAACTTGAACAAACAGTAGTTAAAACCTTCCTTGCTGTCGCACCCCCAACCCCAGCACATGCTGAGACAGCAATTGAGACTGGGTGTTGTGGCAGGTGCTGTAGTCCCAGCTCTTGGGAGGCTATAAACAGGCGGATCACTATGAGTCCTACCTAGTAGTGAGACCATGAAAATCCTGTAGAACCTCCCCTAAAATACAAAAAAAAAAAAAAAAAAAAAACTTTCTAAAGTTCAAAATGAGCCCACAGATTCAAGAAGCTCAGAATATATTAAACAGAATGCCCATGAAATCCATACCAAGCCACATCAAAATTAAACTTATGAAAACTAAACAAAGACAAAGTCTTGAGAGCAACCATGGGAAAAAAATGACACCTTGCATTGAGGAGGGAAACACTCTTCAGGGAAAAACAGGTGCCTCATCAGAAGCCACCAAGGCCACTGGGAAATGACACAGTTTTCCCAAGTGCTGAAAGATACTCATTTCAACGGAGAATTCTACATCTGGCAAAACTGCCTAGTAAGAAGTAGACTCCTGAGATCTAACCTGCACAAAAAATCACAGAATGGCAGAGGATCACATCTTTTACCTAGTTTCTGGCCCATAACAGAGTGCATCTTAAATCTGATAATGATAAGACTTTCCAAGCACATCATGACTACTATCTTTTCTTTCTTAGCTTCAAAGTGATTTTAATACATGGCCTCACTGGTAACAGATGCATATTGGTTTGGTAACTTATACATCATACCAGAGTGATATAAGCGAGGACAAAATTCTATAGAAGATGTGATGCTTCATGTTGGGAAATACTCAAAGGGTCATTGTTATTCATAATTAAACAGAGTCCCTGGCATGATTCCGTCCTGCACTGTGGAGCAGCACTCATTCACTTCCATCCGCGTTCTCTCCCTCCTAAGTGCACGCCACCACTCCATGGAAGATTCAGTGGATATGCACATGAGCCCTCTGAAGCCCCAGAATTAACTCTTCAGTTGTGAACTAAAGGCCAACAAAGATTACCACTTTAAGGTGGATAACAGTGAAAATGAGCACCAGTTATTGTTAAGAACGGTCAGTTTAGGGGCTGGTGCAAAGGATGAATTGCACATTGTTGAGGCAGAGGCTATGAATTATGAAGGCAGTCCAATTAAAGTAACACTGGCAACTTTGAAAATGTCTGTACAGCCAGTGGTTTCCCTTGGAGGCTTTGAAATTACACCACCTGTTGTCTTAAGGTTGAAGTGTGGTTCAGGGCCTGTGAAGATTAGTGGACAGCATTTAGTAGCTGTGGAAGAAGATGCAGAGTTGGAAGAGGAAGAGGAAGAATATGTAAAACTCTTCAGGATATCTGGAAAGCAATCTGCCCCTGGAAGTGGCAGCAAGTTTCCACAGAAAAAAGTAAAACTCGCTGCTGATGAAGACAACAAGGATGATGAGGACGAGGATGAGGATGATGACGATGATGATGACGATGATTTTGATGATGAAGAAACTGAAGAGAATGCTCCAGTGAAGAAATCAATATGAGATACTTCAGCCAAAAATGCACAAAAATCAAACCAGAATAGAAAAGACTCAAAACCATCAATGCCAAGATCAAAAGGGCAGGAATCCTTCAAGAAACAGGAGAAGAGTCCTAAAACACTGAAAGGACCTAGTTCTACAGAAGACATTAAAGCAAAAATGCAAGCAAGTATAGATAAAGGTGGCTCTCTTCCCAAAGTGGAAGCCAAATTCATCAATTATGTGAAGAACTGCTTCCGGATGACTGACCAGAAGGCTAGTCAAGATCCCTGGCAGTGGAGGAAGTCTCTTTAAGAAAACAGTTTAAACAATTTGTTAAAAGCTTTCCATCTTCTTTCATTTCTGTAACAGTTGCTATCTGGCTATCCTTTTTATAATGCACCATGTTTGATAAATGTTGTCTGGGTCCCATTGCCAAGAATGTGTTGCCTGAAATGCCTGTTTAGTTCTTAAAGATGGAACTCCACCCCTTACTTAGGTTTAAGTATGCATGGAATGTATGATAAGACATAGTAGTGGTGGTGGTCAGACATGGAGATGGTAGGAAGACAAATATATGTGTGAAATAAACTCAGTATTTTAATAAAGTAAAATAATAATAACAATAATTAAACAGAGTGCTTGGCTCTAATGGCAAATAAATTCAAGTCCTTGTTCTGCAATATTTTCTTTTTTTTTTCTTTTTCAAAGTTTTATTGATAAACAGATAGCAATGAGACAGTTTCAAATCAAATCGAAAGTACAGTTTCAACAAATATTACACTGCATATATTCTTCTTAGTGGTTAATTGCTGTACAAGAAGCGGACTTGTGATCCTATTTACAAACACCATTAGAACAAATCATTCTATTCATTAAGAGAATGCAACTATATATCTATCCCAACCACTTTGAATACACAGATACAAAATGGACATTCATAGGCCTACCCCATTTTTCTAAGTTCCGTTATTGAATATTATAGGTGTGTAAACTCAGCAAAATATTCTAAAAGAGTCCAGTAGCCCATAATAGCATTGGGTCTTCTGTTTAACTGGCAATGTCAGAAATTATTGACCTGAGTCCCCCACAGTTCAACTTAACAGCATGGCTTTATTTCCTATATTTCGTCTTCATACTGCAAAATTTTCAAGGTAAAGCATCTCAACATAGCTATGATGGCCAATTTTATAATAGAAATTAGAAACTAGTGAGTAGCCCGTGACCGTGCTCATGCCGCTTGGCACATAGTTAGGCTGCTAAGCTCAGTGTTGCCTGTCTGCATCGAACTGCTTCTTCCATTAGCTGACTAGTTCCTCCTGATCACATCCAGCTGCAGTATCTGTGATTTTCAACTTAAAATATGTACATATGTAACTATTTTTTGGTTTACTTTGAGGAGTTGATACTTTAAACCCAGAACACATGGGCTCAGTCAAAGACATTTTCAACTCCTCCTGCTCTGCTCAGACCCTCTCCCACCCAGAGCGTTTCTGTATAAGGATAAGAAATTCCCTTTAAGTCAACTTGCTTAAAACAAATCTGGCTAAAAATGTATGATTTCATTCTTGAAATCCATGTAACCAATCACCTAACAACTATCAGCTTTGTACTTCCTGCTTGCAAACTGAGTTTAAACTGAACTCAAAACTGACTCTGGGCTGGTGATTTGGAACTGGTCCCCATCAGCCTGCTAGCATTACATTAAAGTTGCCTTCAAAACTTCTTGGTGCAGAGCATTGTCTTTTGGGGTCTAAATTTTTCCTGTATTGTAACTATTAAAAGATAGGGATGAAAAATATGCAACTGAAGTGTTTGCCAGATTTTATTCAATTTTTGAGAAGTCCTTCAATTCCAGGAACAAGGCAACTCCTTCCTCTAAACTGGTGAGCTATGTTCAGGGTTTCCCTTGTACAGTGTTAAGTACATGATGATAAACTGCTCACCAAACACATTTGTTTTGCTCGGACACTCAGCTGGGCCACATTTCTCAGCCTCTCTGCATTCAGGCCTTGCCTGTGACTGCATTTTAGGCAGTCAAATCTGAAAGATGAAAAAGCACTGCATGGCATTTATAGACTAGACCACAATTGCCCCAACACTTGATCTTTAGCTTCTCCTCTTCTGTCTGGCTCGATATACAGCTTAGACCTCAGACAAGAATGATGGTGGAGCTACAAAAGGGAAGGCATCCAGGTCCTTAACCCTAACATAGAAAAACAGCTCCTTGCCCATTTGAAACGCTCAGGAGCAACGCTTCATGTGAGTAAGGCACAAATCTCTCTTTGGTGAAATAACTGGCCTTCATGAGTTGGACTGTTGTGGCAACTAGAAGTGTGCTAAAGTACGCAGGAGGTTTGTCTTCTCATTCTCAGGCTGCACTATTGCCCTGTGACTCATCACTTCCCACCTGCAGAGCCCTCCCTCTTCCCTTTGTTCCTTCACAACTCACTGCACTCCAGGGCTCCTGCTGAGGGACAGCTATCAGGACAGTGCCCCTGAGCCCATTTCCCTTTCAACCTTGTAGCTGAGCGACCATTTAGAAGAAAGGAAAGTGACTGAGTCTTTACCAAGACCAAGAAGAAGCTCAGCCTGCAGAAAGAGAAGCTGAAATGAGAAGGGTGGTGGCTTGGATTTTGTTGTACTCACTGGGGACTGCACATGTTTGTGGCCACAGCACCAGTATGCTAATCCATGAGAGGATGCTACACATCAAGGAAGGAAAAGCTAGCTCCTGTGGCTTAGGTCCAGTCTGCTCCTTGAGGTGAGGTTTTGCTGTCCTGGCTGGGTGTGTGGTTGCTGCAATTTCATTGTTTTTTCTTTCCAGGAACTGCCTGATCCACCTCTTTTTTCTAAACCCATGAAAAGAAACACAAGAAGTCAACCAACAAGCAAAAAGTTCACTTTCTTATTGCAGGGTAACCCAGTCAACCTTTAAATTAAAAATCCCCAGTTTCCAGCAGTCTGACTGTTTCATAGGCAGTCTTCTCCCTGCTGGTAGGAGCAAGTCATGAGCTTTGTCTTGGGAAAGAAGGGTCTGTGACAAACAGAAGCAAATGACATAGGCAAAAGCATGACAGACCATGGGAAGAAACTGCAGTGGAGAGAAGAGAGAGAGGTCACTGTGGGGCATAGGAAGGGGAGCCGGCTTTGAAGGAAATAATTGTTTTTAGTTGCTTGTCAATAAATGAAAGATGTCAGCTTGAATCTAGTTTTGGTAGTAGTTTGGATGAAAAATATGTGTGTTTCTTTAAAGAGTAACAGACACCAAGTAGGTAGTCAATAAATTATAAATGATGGACCATTTAAAAGATAAATTTCTGGGATGGCTATATAGCTCAGTGGACTAAAGCACCTGCTTAGACAAGCACAGGGGCTGGGGTTCAATCCCTGGTGTGCCATGCTTGCCCGATCCCCCAGGGTGCACCGAGATGGTGACTGAGACTGCGTGTGTTGGCTTGCAACTGTAATCCCAGCACTTGGGAGGCTGAAAACAGGAGGGTTACTATGAGTCTGATCTGCGTAGTAAGACCCTGTAGTCCCTGTACTAAAGTACATTTTTAAAAAAGATAGTTTTCATAAACAAAAAATAGGTGGTGACCAATCATGGGACTTTGAGATATGTTTTAAAGTCTTGGAGGAGTGAGACCAATAATAGCCAATAATATCTTTTTATATAAAGAAATCTCATTAAGCCATGTTTGATACAGGCTAATTTATTTTAGTAGCATTTAGCTCATAAATCAAAGGTTGGACTGGCACAGAAGGTGATTCAATATTCATAATTAAAGCAGAGCTGGCCAGTTACCATGTAGACTGAATATTCTTCTTTTTCTCATGTAGCTAAAATAAAATCTTTTAGTCTAGCTTCTCTAATTTCTCTTTGGTGCTATGATTGAGACCTATGTTTATTTCTTTTGTTTATCTCTCTTATAATTTCTTACCTACCTCTTAACTTCAGGAGTATAAACCAATTTGAATCTAATTTTTTAAAAAAGGAATACAATTGTACCCGGTCAAGGGGAAAGAGTCTTTTTTGTAAAGAACTAGCACATTCAATACATCCCAGACACAACGAGAGTTTCAAGATTAGCTTTGTAAAAGAAAGATGGCCGAGGGCAGGCAAAGCTAATCGCTCCCGTGTGACCACGTATTCATAAGGACCCCTGAAACAGGAAATTATCCCTGCCTACTATCACTGAATAGTGTAACAATTCCACAGGTCTTTCATGTTAGATGGACTTGGTCTCTGAGCCTGGATTCTTCATCCATGAAGTAAGTAGGTTTCTAGGTGAAAAGTCTCTGCAGTGAAGAGAGCAGACTCGACCTAGTTTGGAGGTTCAGAATCTTTACCTTAAAAAGAAATGGGGAGCATTTGATTTGCTTGCTTGGGATACTTACCAATGGAGTTGGAGCTTTCAGAGTACAAGGGGTCATTAAAGAGAGATTTGTGAAAAACAAGTAATGAAGGACACAGCATGGGACATTTTCTCTGCATTGTGACTGTCTTGTTTGATAGTGTTGAAAAGAACTATGCCACACATTATGTCTTTTTCTTCAGTCAAATCATACAGTGTCCTATTTTGCTCTCTTCCTTGTCTGTCCTTTCCTCCCTTTCATAGTTCCTTGTGTCCAAACTGTATCATGCCCTGTGTAACAGACCAAAAATGCTTCAAAAAGGGCTCACACTTCAAATGTTTATAGTTGATATTTATTTATTTATTTATTTATTTATTTATTTATTTATTTATTCATTTAGTGCAGGGTCTCACTACAGATGGAGCTTGTAGCCACCCTCCTGTTTTCTGCCTTCCGAGTGCTGGGATTACAGGTGTGCGCCACCATGCCCGGACTCCATGGCTGGCTCAGCACATCTGGGGGAGGGGCCAGTGTGGCATGTGGTGCCAGGAATCGAACCCTGGCCCTTGTGCTTGCCTAAGCAAGTGCTTAGTCCACTGAGTCAGCCCTTATAACTGATATTTATGCATGTGCCTATCTACACATATCACACTTACACACATACACAAGTGCATTTCCCAGGCAAATACATTTCCATATTTACTGGGCACCATCACATATCTGTTATACTTAAATTTCATGTGAGTTTTACACAGCTGAAAAATAAAATGCTGTGGCAGAAAAGTGAGTCATAGAGGAATAGAATTTTCATAGAGGGAATGGCTTTTGAGGGCTGCTGGGGATGACGTCTTTTCAATGTGTAGATACATACATGGAAGAAACAGTATTAATG